CCCCGTCTCTACTAAAATATAAAAAACTAGCCAGGTGTGGTAGCGCACACCTGTAGTCCCAGCTACTCAGGAGGCTGAGGCAGGAGAATCGCTTGAACCCAGGAGGCAGAGGTTACAGTGAGCCAAGATCGCGCCACCGCACTCCAGCCTGGGCGACAGAGTGAGACTCCGTCTTAAAAAAAAAAAAAAGAAAGTTTAAAATTGTATTTTTTATGTTGTGTATATTTTATCATAATTTTAAAAAGTGGGTAATCAAGAGCTGTAGCTGTGTTTATTTTCTCACCACAGTGCGGTGAGGGGGTCCTTTCGAACCATTCAGTTCTTGGCTCATACATAGCCTGGTGATCTTCAGCAAATCACTTCACCTTTCTGAACCTGCCTCCTTGTTGGTAATTTCAGTGTAATGATGCTTTCCAGGAGCCACATGTGTAAAAGTCTGCAGCTTACCACATGTAGTAAGCTGTAGTTGAAAATTGCAGCCCTTTTGGAACCCCCCCAACCTGGTTATTTTTCTTCCTTTTCTTTTTTTTCCCCCAAGTAGCTAGGACTACAAGTGTGTGCCATCACACCAAACTATTTTTTTTTAATTATTTTTTTGTAGAGATGGGATCTCACTATGTTGTTCAGGCTGGTCTCAAACTCCTGGACTCAAGTGATCCTCCCACTTCAGCCTCCCAAAATGTTGGGATTACAAGCATGAGCCACTATACCTGGCCTGCTTTTTTCTTTTGGGGTTTAACCATCACCTGTTAGATCCAATCAGGTGGTAGGGACGGGAAAGCTCTGGCTGAACCTCTGTTGACCCTGAGATACCTTTGGGAAACCCTTTGCTTTCTTTCTGACTCCAAATCCCCAAAGCTTCCTTAACACCAAGCACTGAGTGGCTACGCATGTTCGTCCACTCCTCTGTTAAACAAGCCCCCGCTGCAGGGGGATCATCGCCACCTCGATTAATTTTCCTTCAGTTTGATGGAGACTGGCAGTACCCTACACAGCCAGGCCACATTCAATCCACACTCGTTCCTGGGCCTCTGGAGAGCTGGGCTTCTCAACTGAATACCCAAGTGCTGACTGACAAGGAAGCTCCTGGTAAGAATGTTCTCTCCAGGCAAAGCCAGAGCAGTTAGTTAGAGCAGCCGACATCTAAATACCCAGTGCCCAAGCCAGGTGCAGTGGCTCATGCCCTATGGTCCTAGCGTTTTGGGAGGCTGAGGCAGGCGGATCGCTGGAGCTCAGGAGCTGGAGACCAGCTGGGGCAAATGGCAAACCCATCTCCGCAAAAAGTGTAAAAGTTAGCTGAGCATGGTGGTGTGTGCCTGTAGTCCCAGCTACCCCGGAGGCTGAGGGAGGAGGATCATTTGAGTCTAGGAGGTTGAGGTTGCAGTGAGCTGTGATCGTGCCACTGCACTCCAGCCTGGGTGACACAGCCAGATCCTGTCTCATAAAAATAAGGCTGGTGCGGTGACTCATGCTTGTAATCTCAGCACTTTGGGAGGCTGAGGTGGGTGGATCACTCGGCCGGGAGTTCAAGACCAGCCTGGCTAACATAGTGAAATCCCATCTCTACTAAAAATACAAAAAAAATTAGCTGGGTGTGGGTGCCGCATGCCTGTAGTCCCAGCTACTCAGGAGGGTGAGGCAGGAGAATCGCTTGAACCCGGGAGGCAGAGGCTGCAGTGAGCCAAGATCATGCCACTGCACTCCAGCCTGGGTGACAGAGCAAGACTCTGTCTCAATAATAATAATAATAATTAATTAATTAATAAAAATAAGTAAATAAATGCCCAGTGCCCAGAAGGTCAATACATTCCCTCCTTTGTGCAAGGTGTCAATGGGAGACCACGGACAGCTTTGGGTGGGTGGTTTGTTTCCTTTAGGCACTATTCTCCTATGCACCAAGCACTATGCCAAAAGCAGTGAATTCAGGATTTCATCTCAGCCTCATTCTGCAAATGAGCTAAGTTAGATGCTCACCCAAAGACACACAGCTACAAAGTGATGGTGACAGGATTCACATGCAGACCTATCTGCTTTCCAGAGCCTAAGCTCATAACCTCTTGAGTCTGTGTCCACTTTCCCCCAGCCTCCTTGCCTCCTGCACCTGTGAAACCTTGGCCATGGCGAGGAGCCAGGCTGGGCTGGGGATGAGCCCCCTCTGTAGCACACTCATCTGCTTCTCACATATTCCCCGACCCTGCTATGGTTTCGGGATTTGGAGACAGTGCTCACAGCCTAGGTGGGGTCAGGGAGAGACAGACTTATAAACATCAGAACAATGTCACAGGCACGAATGCCGGGCCCAGTGGAGCAAGTCGGAGAGGTCAATTCAGAACAAGATGTATACCTCTGATTCCAGGGAGCAGCGGCCAGTATTTACGGACAATCACTGTGTGCTAGGTCTTTCTCTGGTGTGATTTATGGGCTCCTTACACCTGTGTTTGGTTTTTCTGTTTTGGTTTTGGGTTTTTTTTGAGATGGAGTTTTACTCTTGTTGCCCAGGCTGGAGTGCAATGGTGCGATTTCAGCTCACCACAACCTCCACTTCCCAGGTTCAAGTGATTCTCCTGCCTCAGCCTCCTAAGTAGCTGGGATTACAGGCATGAGCCATCAAGCCTGGCTAAGTTTGTATTTTTAGTAGAGACAGGGTTTCTCCATGTTGGTCAGGCTGGTCTCGAACTCCTGACCTCAGGTGATCCACCTGCCTTGGCCTCCCAAAATGCTGGGATTACAGGTGTGAGCCACCATGCCCCGCCTGGTTTTGTTTTTTAACAGATAATAAACATATGTTGGACACTTACTACATTCCAGGCACTGATATAAGCATTTTACTTTATTTATTTATTTTAAATTTAAATTTTTTATTTTTTTGAGACAAAGTCTTGTTCTGTCGCCCAGGCTAGAGTACAGCTCACTGCAACCTCTGCCTCCTGTTTCAAGCGATTTTCCTGCCTCTGCCTCCCGAGTAGCTGGGATTACAGGTGCCCTCCATCACACGCAGCTAATTTTTGTATTTTTAGTAGAGATGGGGTTTCACCATGTTGGCCAGGCTGGTCTTGAACTTCTGACCTCAAGTGAGCCACCCACCTTGGCCTCCCAAAGTGCTGGGATTACAGGCATGAGCCACTGTGCCTGGTCCCACGTTTTACTTTATTGAATCCTCACTCTGGGGCAGACAGTGTTTAATATTTCCAATTTATAGACAGAGGAGAGGCACTTGCCCAAGGCTGCAGAGTGAGAAATAGGCTGAGCAGAGAGTCAAACCCAGTGCTCTTCCCCAAAACCCCAGTGTCTTCTTCTTGGCTTCGGTTTTAGCTTCTGTCCTGTAAACCCAAAGTACTCTGTGCCCTTCACATACTCTTTTTGCCAGGTAATGGCTCATGCCTGCAGTCCCAGCTACTCAGGAGGCTGAGGTGGGAGGATCACTTGAGGGCAGAAAGTAGAGGCTGCAGTGAGCTATGATTATGCCACTGCACTCCAGCCTGAGGGACAGAGTGAGACTCCATTTCATACCTATATAAGCTCCCAGTGGGCAGGAATCACGTCTGTCTTGGCTATCATGAAGAGCCTAGAACCTACAGCAGCACCCAGCACAAAGCAGGCACTCAAAACATATTTGTGAAATGAACAAATGTTCATTGTCTGTCTTACACACTAGACTGGGACATCCTTCAGGCAGGAACTGTGTCCCCTTCATACTGCCACCCAGCACCCATCACAAGGCCAGGCTCAGAGGAGACACAGCGCTTACTGGAGGAATCCTGTGTGCAGGTGTCAAGGTGCCCTGATCCGCGGTAACGAGCCACAGACCAAAGAGATCAGATTGGGGCATCTCTTCCTCCTCACCTTCCCTTCCCCTTGCACTCTCTCCTTTCGTGCTTCTCCCTCCCTCCCTCTCTTCCTACCTTCTCCCATGCTCACCCTGGACCAGCCCAGGTCCCCTGAAGGATACCTGGGCCTGATCCTGTTTGCCCTGAAGTCTGACGTGACTCAGCTCCGCCAGTGGTGGGGGAAACGTTCACTCCGATTATTTAGCCAAGGTAGCTAATTTGTCCTTAACTAAACTGTGGGGATTTTTTCCTACTGATGCACAACAGCCCATGAGTTCAAAGTAGGGGCAAGAGACCTAAAATCAAAACCAATAACAGCAATGGCAACAAGGGAAGAACTTCTACACCCAGCCCCACTGACCCTGTGGCACCCCAGGAGACAAACGGAACAAGCCGCTCCAGCCTAGACCAAAGCTCATTTGGTCTCCAACCAAATCTGGTGTGGATTGCTGGAGTATTTAGAATTAATTTTATTCCCAATTGTTTTTCGAGTGCTCAAAAATAACAGCTGCTCAATATAAATGCAAAATCATTTGCAGATATAATTAAGTGAAGGATCTCGAGCCCATCTTGGATCATCGAGGTGGACCCTAACTCCAGCGGCAAGTGTCCTTGGAAGAGACGAGGAGAGCGACGTGTGCAGAGGGAGGCAGAGATTAGGTGATGTAGCCACATACTAAGCCTGGAGCCACCAGAAACGGGAAGAAGCGAGGAAAGATTCTCCCCAAGAGGCTTCAGAGAAAGCACAGCCCTGCTGCCACCTTGATTTTGGATTTCTGGCCTCCAGAACTGTGACAGAATGAATTTCTGTGCGTTTCTTTTCTTTTCTTTTCTTTTGAGATGGAGTTTCGTTCTTGTTGCCCAGGCTGGAGTGCAATGGCAAGATCTCGGCTCACCGCAACCTCCGTTCTCCTGGGTTCAAGCAATTCTCCTGCCTTAGCCTCCTGAGTACCTGGGATTACAGGCACGCACCACCACACCTGGCTAATTTTGTATTTTTAGTAGAGACGGTGTTTCTCCATGTTGGTCAGGCTGGTCTTGAACTCCCAAGCTCAGGTGATCCACCTGCCTTGGCCTCCCAAATTACTGGGATTACAGGCATGAGCCACCGTGCCCTGCCTAAATTTCTGAGTTTTTTTTTTTTGGTTTTTTATATTTAAATATGTATTTAAAAGCCTACAGCACCCGTTATTCCCAAAAGGTCTCCCATCCAAGTATTAACCAGGCCTGACCCTGCTTAGCTTCCAAGATCAGATGAGATCGGGCACGTTCAGGGTGGTATGGCTGTAGACTAAATTTTTGGTTTAAGCCATCAAGTCTGCAGTAATTTATTTTGGCAGCCCTAGGGAACTAATCGGATAAAAGTACAAGTAGTCTCAGCTACTGGGGAGGCTGAGGCAGGAGGATCACCTGAGCCTGGGAGTTCAAGGCAGTGGTGTGCCACGATTGCACCTGTGAATAGCCATGGCACTTCAGCCTGGGCGACAGCTTTAGGTCCCATCTCTTACAACAACCAAAGAAAGGGCAGCCCAAGGAGAAGCATAGACTTCGACACTGGACACACCTATTGAAGCCCCAGCTGTGTCCCTAATTGCATTGATCTTGGGTGAGCTCTAACTTCTCTGAGCCTCAGTTTACTCCCCCGTGAACTGGTTACAATGGTCTTTTCTGCCTCGTGAGGATGTGGGGAATACCAAATGAGGTAATTCCTGCCATGTTCCTAGCACTCCGACTGGTCCACCCGTAACATAATGGCTTCTCTTGCTTAAGTGAACAAGACAGATCCAAAATGCATTCCCTGGAGTCTCAGGGCCCCTAACTTCTCTGCTGGCTCTTGGTAACCTGCCATCATTGGGGTGGGACACAGAGCCCTGTGTTGGAACTTCAGCACTGGAAGAGGCTCCAATCTGTAACAATGAGTTCAAACCTCCCCTCCCACTTTACAGATGGGGCAACTGAGGCCTGGAGAGGGGAAAACAGTTGTGCAAGGTCACACAGAAAATCAGTTCTCCTGACTTCTGGGAAACCAAGTTCCTTCTGCTTCTCCAAGCTGACTTCCTAGGAACTAAGTCTCTGATGAGGTTCAAGGTGGCTGAGGCCAAAGGGGAAGGAGGATCCTGTCCAACACTTCAGAATTTCTGACAAGGCCCTGGCTCTTAGCAGATGTCTACACTCCAGGTCCTTGTGTTCAGTGAGTAACCAGTGTAGGTAGGTCCATGAATGGAACCATCTCAATCACCGTCACCATGTCACCACCACCCCCATCCCAGCAGCTATGCGGATTCAGTGCTTACACAACTGACACATTCTATTGAATGTTACTGTGACATTTACAGAGATCATCTCATTTAATCCCTCCAAAAACCCTATGAAATTGCTGCTATCCTCACTGTACAGAGGAGGAAAGTAAGCCTTGGGAGGGTAGACTGAAGTCAATAGTGTGCCCCAAAACCCATGTCTACCCAGGACCTCGGAATGTGACACTATTTGGAAATAGGGACTTTGTAAATGTAATTAGTGAAGATGAGGCCATACTAGATTAGGGTGGGTCCTTATAGGACTGGTGTCCTTACAAGAAGAGAGGGTCGGGTGTGATGGCTCACGCCTGTAATCCCAACACTTTGGAAGGCTGAGGCAGGAAGATCATTTGAATCCAGGAGTTCAAGACTAGCCTGGGCAATATGGTGAGACTCTCCATAAAACAGGGGTGCCCAACCCTGTTTTATAGGAACCGGCCCACACAACAGGAGGTGAGCAGTGGGCAAGCGAAGCTTCACCTGTATTTACAGCCGCTCCCCACTGCTGGCATTACCACCTGCGCCCCCGCCTCCTGTCAGACCAGCTGTGCCATTAGATTCTCACAGAAGCATGAACCCTATTGTGATCTAGGTATGCAAGGGGTCTAGATGGCAAGCTCCTTATGAGAATCTAATGCCTGATGACCTGTCATTGCCTCTCATCATTCCTAGATGGGACCATCTAGTTGCAGGAAAATAAGCTCAGGAGTCCCACTGATTCTACCTTATGGTGAGTTGTATAATTATTTCACTATGTGTAATAATAATAGAAATAAAGGGCACAATAAATTTAATTGTGCTTGAATCATCCCGAAACTATCCCCGTCCCCCACCCCCACCCCACCACTATCCATGGAAAATTTGTCTTCCATGAAGTTGGTCCCTGATGCCAAAAAGGTTGGGGACCGCTGCTATAAAAGATAGCCGGGGCCAGGTGGGGTGGCTCACACCTGCAATCCCAGCTCTTTGGGAGGTGGAGGTGGACAGATCACAAGGTCAGGAGTTCAAGACAAGCCTGGTCAATATGGTGAAACCCCATCTCTACTAAAAATTTAAAAATTAGCTGGCATTATGGCATGCGCCTGTAGTCCCAGCTCCTCGGGAGGCTAAGGCAGAAGAATCGCTTGAACCCAGGAGGTGGAGTTTGCAGCGACTGGAAATTGCGTCACTGCGCTCCAGCCTGGGAGGCAGAGCAAGACTCCGTCCCCTACAAAAAAAAAAATAGCCAGGTATGGTGGTGCACCCCTGTGGTCCCAGCTACTAGGGATTGCTTGAGCCCAGGAAGTCGTGAGCCGTGTTCATGCCACTGCACTCCAGCCTGGGCAAGAGAGAGAATCCCTGCTTCAAAAATAGGACCCAAGACACAGAGACACACAAGGCCATGTGAAAACAGAAAAAAATTAGAGTGAGGTAGCTGGAATGCCAAAGATTGCAAGCAACCACAGAAGCCGGGACAGCAAGGTTCTCCCATAGCGCCTTCAGAGGGAGCACAGCCCGGCCATCACCTTGATTGCAGACTTCTAGCCCTCTGAGCTTGAAATGTCTGCTGTTTTAAGTCTCCCAGTTTACAGCAATTTGCTACAGCAGCCCTAGGGAACTAACACAAAGGGGTTAGCCATCTCAGCAGCCATGGCCTAAAACACAGAAGCAATGTCTGTTAAAATTCCTCCACACCCCAGCTCTCACAACAGAAGGCCTTTTTCCGTCAGGAATATAGAACGTTAGCCCAGAAAGAACGCTGGCCGGGAAGAGTGTTTGCGAGCACTTACATGTGCCAGTCTCGCTCCTAAGTGGCAGCCATGTGTGCATAAACCCACTGAATCCACACAACCGCCACAGGAGGGGAGTGCTGTTCTCCCCATCTTACGGGTGGGGAATGTTGAGGCTCCGAGGGGTGAAGTAACTCACCCAGAGGCCCATAGTTGGGGGTAGCAGGGCCTAAGTTAGGCCTCTGGTTCCTTGGACTCCAGAACCCCCACTCCTAACCACCCCCCAATCTTCTCCCTGCAGGTCAAGTTCATTCCCTTTATTTTACAAACGAGGAAACCAAGGCACATGAAGCTTCAATGAAGCAACTGCCAGTCAGCCAGGGTCCAGCTGGGGCTCCCTCTATTTGCAGACAAAGGGTGGTTGCCCTCCACGACTGGCAAAACAAGCCCAGCTGGACAGCAAGAGCTGCAGGCTGCATCCCTGCCCACCACTTAACGAGAGTGGCAAGCGGCCAGAAATTAATTAGCTGTCTCAGTTTTGGCACAGGCTGAGGAAGGAAAGTGGTTAATTATAATGAAGCCCAGAGAGCATGTCATAGGAGAAGATTAAAGGCTGGAACAGAGAAATCCAGGCCCCAGAGTTGAACGTGAGCAGGGAGGCCGGCCAGGTCACACTCAACGAGAAACAGGGCAGATGTCTCATTCAGCTCAGTTCGAGAGCAACACTCACGGCAGCCAGGGAAGAGCAGCTCCTCCCCACCATCCTGGCTCTGCTTCTGGCTTAGGGATGGCTGGACCAGGGATGGGGCAGCAGGCACGATGGGGGCCCAAGAAAGCAGAGTCCCGCAAGGATGTGAAATACCAGCCCATGGGCGTCTGGAAATAGGACATGCGCCTTGTACAAACACCTAGTGACATGCTGTCTGAGTGTTGGACCCTCTGCTGGGGCTCCAGCTATGAACAAAGGATATACTCCTTCCACCCGACACCCACTCATGGTGGGGAGAACAGAGCAGGGGAGCAATCAGGTGTCTGAAATAGTGCATAGTCCTTGCTCCAATGGCGGGGGACACACAGGACACAGTGGGAACACAGAGGAGGGTTACCTGTTGGCTGGAGGGGCAGTGAGGAGCAATCAGAGAAGTCTCCCTGGAGGAAAGATTTTTCTAAGCTGAAAAGTAAGGGGTTTCTCTGAAGGAGACAGCAGCCTGAGGTTCCTGCACACCTTACTGCCCTCTTGTCTCATAGTTGGGGGATTTTTATTATAGATCCCAACAACTCCACAGAGCAAATCACATTAACAAAGTGTCATCTGGATATTTAAGAAGTACTTGGATGGGCACAGGGGCTCACACCTATAATCCCAGCACCTTGGGAGGCCAAGGGGGGAGGATCACTTGAGCTCAGGAGTTCGAGACCAGCCTGGGCAACATAGGGAGACCTTGTCTTTGTTAAAAATTTAAAAATTACCTGGCATGGTAGCAAATGCCTGCAGTCCCAGCTACTCAGGAGGCTGAGGTGGGAGGATCATTTGAGCCCGGGAGATGGAGGTTGCAGTGAGCTGCGATAGAGCTACTATACTCCAGCCTGGATGACAGAGTAAGACCCTGTCTCAAAGAAACAAAGAAAGAAAAAGAAAGACAGATGGAAGGAAGGAAGGGAGGGAGGGAAAAAGAAACCCTGTCAAGAAAGAAAGAAGAGAGAAAGAGAGAAAAGAGAGAGAGAGAGAGAGAAGACTAAGCTAGAAAACAGGATTGAGGATGAATACCACACAGTTCCTGCCCTCCAGGAGCAACTGGTAAAAGGGAATGCAGGCACAGAAACAAGCAACAGCACTGTCACGATGACACACTGGTTCAAGGCCGGGCGCGGTGGCTCACACCTGTAATCTCAGCACTTTGGAAGGCCAAGGCGGGAGGATCACCTGAGATCAGGAGTTTGATACCAGCCTAGCCAACATGGTGAAACCCTGTCTCTACTAAAAGTACAAAAATTAGCCAGGTGCTGTGTGCCTATAATCCCAGCTACTCTGGAGGCTGAGGCAGGAGAATCGCTTGAACTGGGGAACCGGAGGATCGCGCCACTGCACTCCAGCCTGGGTGACAGCACGAGACTCCATCTCAAAACAAACAAACAACAACAACAACAAAAAAAAAACTGGTTCATGACCACCTGCTTTTGTGCATGTCTTCCCTCTCTCTAGGTGACAGGTACTGGATGAAGATACTGTGATTTATATCATTGCATTTAATCCTGCTAACCAACTGCAGTAAGCACTGCCATGGC